TCTCAATAGCTACACAGCCCATGCTGATCAGGAACTTGTGACTCCTTGTCTCAGCATCCCCAGTGCTGGGCTCACAGGCATGTCCCCTCACACTCAGCTTGTCATTCTCACACACCCAGTTTGTCATCATCATAGTTTCTGTAGGGCGGCCAAGGTAAGGACCCCAGACAGACGCTGAGGTGCAGGAGTGTCTCTTCAGGGCCAGACAGGGGAAGGCAGTTCCAAAGTCAGATTGGTAGCTCTGTCCATTTAGACATGAAATACTGTGTGTCACTGAATATGCTCCCCTGGTCAGAGGCTGGCTGTGCACCCTATAAGGATTAGCTTACTTTGTCCCCACAGCCTGGAGATGGGGGAAATCTTGCACCTATTTCACAGGTGTGCCAACTGAGACCAAGAGAGGTGAGGGACTCCTCTGGGTCACAGATAAAAAGTGTAGACTGAAGCCTCCATGGCCTGTCTAGTCTCCCGCCCCCCCAACCCCTGGGGAAGGAAGACCTACAGGAATCTAGGGGAGACCCACCACCTGGAACAGCCAGATGACCTCAGACTGGTCACCTCCTCTCTGACCCTCAGTCCTCCCTCTGTAAACAGACATGGAATCCTGGTGAAAGTGAAGTTCTTACCAGATTGCTCTGTGAACCAGTCCCCAGAACCCCACCATGGGAGGCCTGCCTCAAACTCCCCTTGGCCAGTCTGTCACCAACCCCTCAGGGTGTACTCACCACTATGTCCCAGGTGTCAGCTCAGCACAGCCTGGAACAGGCACAGTCCCGCCTGGTGGGTGAGCCTCACCTGAGCTTGGGTTAACTCACCCATCCAATGAGGCCATAATGCAGGGCCGTGATTGGCTAGGCCCATCAGGCACATAGCGGGTGTTCCCCCTGCCTCCTTGGCTTCTGCCTTGGGGACACATTTGAGGCGCGCCTGCCTGCCTACCAGCTGCCTGCCTGCCAGCACAACCCAGGCAACTGTCACTTGTTGGTGGCAGCCAGGGAATGTGGGTGGGGACCCCTGGGGCAGCCCTGGACAGAGGCCTCAGTGTGAGCAGCCTGGGTCCTTTCACAGGACCAGACCCATGACTGGCTGTCTGAGAATGCTGCCCATTATCGGACTTACAGAGCACAAAGGGGCAACGAGGGGGCCTGAAGGCCAGGCGCCCGCCATGGGCTCATAGGGGCTCTGGGTCCCCTGACCACAGAGGTCAAGGACGTGTCCAGAGTCAGCAGAGGGCACTCACACACAAAAATGAGAGCCATTTCCTCCTGCCCCACAAGAAAACAAAGACAGAGAAGACCAGGACTCCCCAGGAATCAGGGAGGGACTCTCTGGAATCCAGGGCGGGGCCTGAAAAAATGGACAGGCTCAGCACCTGAGGGGTGCTAGCCACAATTGTAACTTAAGACTGTCAGTGTGAGGGGTCACATCTCCTGGCAGCATCAGCCCTCTTTCTGGAGAGGTACCCCTGGGGGCACAGTAGCAATGGCTGGAGATGCACTGTGGAGCCAAAAGGAGAAGGAAGCAAGCACTGTCCACTTCTGGCTAGGTGCTGTGTGACATCAGGCAGGCATCTGGGCCTCTCTGAGCCTTGGCATCCACACATGGTAACTGACATTCAGGCCCCGGCAGGCCTGGGTTGGCACCTGGCACAGAGGTTGCTTGCTGGTCAGTGGTCCAGGAGGCTCTCCTGAGGGGGCTTAGTGTCCCCACTGTCAGGTGCAATACCAGGAGGGACTGAGAGGGCACAGCCCCCAGAGGTTGCACTGTCCCATCTGCTTCCATAAGACTGGCACTTGTGGTGTGTCAGAAGCTCTTCCTGCAGTGCAGTAAATGTAACCCAGGCCCAGGGCAGAGCCCCTTCCCAGCCCAGCTGGCCTCACTGTTATTGTTTCCAATTGCAGAAGAAAAACATTTCCTCCCGCGCCCTGCTGCCTGCTCCCTCCCCTTCCCTTAGCCTGCCTTGTGTGGCCAGAGGGGACTGGCAGGGGGGTGGTGGGAGGGGGAGCACTGACCCAGGCAGGAGGGTAGGGGAGCACTGACAGAGGGGACATACCCGTACCCAAGTCCCCAGCAGTGAAGGGACGCTTACCCTATACTTTCCAAATCCCAGGCGGCTTCACCACCCGGAAAATGACCCCACTTCACACATGCCAAGAAATCAACTCCATGTCTAGGGCCTTCCACAGGTGTGCACCAGGGCTCATGGAAACTAGCTCCACTTGCTGGAAGCAGACGGGAAATTCTAGAAAGCTCATCATGCTGGTCTTTCTATTAGAAAGGGACAGTGACAAATTAAAGAAGCATTAGCCCCAGACTTGCCCTTGATCTAATCAGGAACCTAAGGAAGGGAAGGATCCAGTCATAGCCACAGCTGCCATTAGTCAGTGGCTGCCTCAGAGTTGGGGTACTGGGTGCCAGCCATCTCCTATTGGATCCCCAAATTTCTCCAGCATCTCAGCAAGAACTTCCCATCTCCCTCTCTTCCGCATCTCTGCCCACTCAAGGGTAGGGATGGCTCCGGCCAGGACCCAACCTGGAAGGAGACAGCTGAGTTCCACTTCTACCAATAATGTTCTTCAGTTCCCCATCTGTGAAACGAGCTCAATGACCCCGTATTGTCATCTGGTTGCAAAGACAGTGTAAAATGGGGAGGGGCAGAGCTGGGCTCAGGGTTTAGCCCTTGGTGATGTCATGGGCTGCTGTGGGACCCTGATGGATCACAGTCCTCCTGTCCCATGCTCCCAGCTCTAGCATGGCTGTGGAGCCATGAATCAAAGCCATGAAGTTTAATTCTCCATCTCACAATCTTCCAGGAGTGTGCTATTATGACAGTACAGGAAATGGAGGCTCAGAGAGAGCAAGTGCCTTGCTGGAAGCCACACTGTACAATTTGCTGAAGGATATTCAGACCTGGAATTTAACCCTGTCCTAAATGCCAGAGCCCAGCTAGAATGCCCACAGTGCCCAGAGCAATCCATGATGCTAGCAGAGTCAGGAGCGTTATCCTCAAGGCTCAGTGGGGGGAGCTGTAGGATGCTGCAAGAAGGCAAGACAGGAAGGAAGCAGGGAGGGGGAGGGGATAGGGTGGGGGAACCCAGAGAAGACTGAGACCAGAGATAGAGACATAGTGGAGAGGAGGGGAAAGAGAGGGGAATGAGAAAGAGACAACAAGAGCAGGAGGAGGGAACAGAGGAGGGCAAGAGATGGGTCAGAGGCTAGAGGAAAGTAAGTCCACAGCCGAGCTGTGCACTCTTACTTTCTGTGCACCCTGCCCAGCTCCCCAGTGGCTCCCACTGATGGTATGACATGGGCCCTCCTCACACAAAGGCAGGTCCAGAGAGTGCTCAGGACAGAAGTCTCCAGTCTCCTGCCAAGGAACACTCTCTCAGCCAGAGTCAAGGCCAGACTCTGCAGGAAAAGGGTAGAAAATGTCAGGCCGGCAGGGTGACGGGAAGGCTGGCGTGGGTCCCAGGAAAATGGGGATGGCCGTAGGCTAAACCCTTTCTGCTGAGTCCATGGGCACAGGAAAACCCCTGCCCACTGTTCCTTCCTAGTTAGATGGGAATAAGACAGAGGAGGCACCCTCCAAGGAAGGGCTGCCAGACACCAAGTGGCAACAGTGGGTCTGACGGAGAAGATCCTGACGGACAGCCAAAAAATGAGGGACCAGGGCTTTCAGACACTGGAGCTGTGCTCTGCCTTCCCCCTTAGCTGTACATCTTGGGTTTCTCTTGGGGGTCTCAGTTTCAATGTCTGTGAGATGGGCCGAGTATTTCTGAGGTCAAAGGCACTCAGCACACTGTGTGGGCACCACCAGACACCAAATGCTGTGGAGGGCCATTACACGGGGCTGTGACCTTGGGAGGGCCTACCTGCTCCTTTGAAAGTCAAAAGTCCAGTGCCAGCACATGTATGGGAGGACTGCAGATCCTTCCAAAGCTCTGGAGTAAGGACAGGGGCTGGGGTGTTGTGGGATGCCAGGCCAGCAGCCCAGAAGGTCTGGCCTCCACACAGGAACCAAGGCCATTGTTTGGGTGTCCTGCCCAGCCTGTCCCATAGTCTATAGGATGGAAGTACTCTCCACACAGTTTCCTGCTTTTCCTGTCGGATTCCCAAGCTGCTTGTAACCTCTTTTATAGGATAGCTTTGGGGCCAGATCATGGGGTTCCAAGGGACTGGTGTTCCCTGGTCTGGCTGGCATTCAGGGTGAAGCTTGGCATGGGAATGGGAAGTGGGGGACATGTGGTAAGGAAAAGTGGGGGACATATGCGGAACGGCTGTGACCAGGGAGACCCAAGGGAAATGGGGGGCTTAGGGGAACCGGGAGAGGAAGAGAGTGCAGAGGGAGAGAGAGCAGCAGGAACAGAAAAAAACGCGGATAAGGGAGAGGGAGTGACGCGGGAGAGGCACGGGGCGGGGTAGAACGAGCTAAGTCGTAGACTCAGAAGAGCGAAACTCGGCGGAGCGGTGGAAGACAAACGGGTGCCCAGACCGAAAAGGAAAGGGACCGGGACTGGCAGAAAGAGAGGCGGGACGACAGACAAGCGTGAGCGGGACCGGACGGTGGCCAGGAGCGCCGGGAGAGCGCGGGGAGCCAGAGGAGAGCGCGGGCAGAGCGCGGGACGGGCCGCACCCGGAGCCCGGGCCCAGAGGGGCGCCCTTGGGGCGGGGCGTCAGGGGCGTGGCGCGGGGCGAAAGGGCGGTGACCAGCGAGGGCTTGGGGGCGTGGCCTCCGCGGAGCCTCTCCGGCCCCGCCCCCGGGTTGTGCCGAGTCGCTGAGCCGGGCCGGGGCGCC